CCCCAAAACCCCAAAACCCCAAAACCCCAAAACCCCAAAATCCCATATCCCCACTGAATCTGCCTCATTGCACCATTCTTACATATTTTTCCCTTCAAAACTCCCTAAAATTCCTCAAATTTGCTCTCTCCCAGTCCAAAATTCTACATATAATCCCTCACAATGGACTTGAACAGGTCATTCTTCCTGTTAAGGACCTTCAATAGGTCGCCTTGGAGATTTTTAGCTTTGTCGGTCTCTGTTTTGTTAAGGATGACTAGGATGTTCTTCTTGCGTCTCCAGGCTAGAGAGGTTAGGGGAGGCTTGCCTTTGTGGAATTCTATTATGGATTTGATCTTTTCTGAGCAGTTGTCCAAGACTGTTTGGATAGTCTGAGAATTAGAAGGAAATTTACAGATTTTTGTATTTTCATGTCAATTTCAGTTCCATATTTCAAAAGTAAATCTACCAGAAGAGGCTTCTCTCTTGTTATAGCGGTTATGAATGCACTGATTGATTGTTTTGTGCTAAAGAGTAAGAGAATTATCGTACCGTAACTCTGTATTAGCACCTGCTTTCAAGAGTAGCTCCACCATCTCATAATCGTTGAAATGAACCGCTCTAATAAGAGCGGTTTCACCGTTCTTAGCTTGCTCGTTGATATCAACTTTCATCTCTTGTAGAAGGAATTTTGCTTCTTCATATCCTTGAAAACAAGCACAGGCGATTAAGAGAGTGTAATTAGAGTACATTTTCATTTTCTGAATAAACTCAGGTGTTAATGAAAGTCATCTTTCCTTAAATACATCAATATCTTTATCCTTAATCAATTTTACCAAGCTCTATAAGCTAGAAGGGGCAGGAAATACCTCTGTTTGTTTGAAAATAACTTTTGCAGCTCTCTTGATTTTATGGTTCCAGTAAAATCCTAAGCAGGAGAACAGAACTGCAGCCCCTATTGCAGGTTTGAAGTAGGAAAGATCCTCTGTGGGATCCATATAGTAGGTTATTCAGACTACAGTCAGGACTAGTATATATTCTTTGCCCATTTTTATGAATTTAGAATAGTTTAAAAAATCATATAAATACTTTTCATATGAGGAAATCCTTTGGGATACATATTTCAATTTATCCTTCTGTTAAAGGGGTTTTGGGGTTTTGGGGTTTTGGGG